ATCATGACACTAATCTTTTGTGGTATCCATTTATTCTACAAGCTTTTCCACCATTCAAATTTCTGTCTTGAAGTTCTATTATAATTGTAATAATGTCTACTCGTTAAATTTTCCCGACTTGGAGTCCGTGTAGCAAAGCTCGTCTTTAACATTACTGTCTAAGTGTAACTTATCAAATTCGTCCCTAACTAGCTCTAGGAGAGAAGCATATATTGTTGTATTGTTTTTGGCTTATGCTAAAGCAGTTCCCTCATTAGTTGTGGAAGGTGGGAGGTCGTCAACATCCATTTATCTCCCCGGACTCTAAGTTGTCCTATTCCTACAACCCAAATTGACCTTTCCATAAGAAGTTGTAGATGTGGTAGAATTGACTTCGGACCAGAAGCCTTTGCTTCTATCTAAACTTGAAAACGACTTTGGCTTTCCATACTTGGCACTAACATATGTGTTCCACATTAATGAACGAGATAAGTAAGATTATGTAAGCTTGTTTTTCATAGCTTTCATTACCTTTTTAGATCTCTCACACCCAATCCACCCTCTTGTATGAGAAGGGACAACTTACCCCAACTTACCCACTCGATGTTTACTCTTTCCCCCACTATTCCAAAAAAAGTTTGATGTGTAGCTTTGAAGTCTAGCTAAGGTGGTTTTAGGTATTGGGAGAACTCCCATACGAGTAAATAGGTATAGAGGAGAGGACACTTTATATCAAAGTTAACTCCCCATCGATGACAATAGCTTTCTTTCCAACCTGCCGACCTATCCTTCATCTTGGATTTCAAGTAAGCAAAATAGTGTATAGGATTTCTCCCTTTAAACGGCAGCATACCTAAATATTTTATAACATTCGAAGTTACAAAAAAGCATGTCTATGTAGAGAGCACACCTTTCCTGTTAAAAGAGATTTTATTGCTACAAAAAAATAAACTTTTTCGAAATTAATCAAATGTCCACTAGAAGCGGCATATTTCGCAACGGGGTTCTCATGTTATCTAGTGTTCTCTTTCCCTTATGTAAAACATTAGCATGTCATCTATAAATAATAGATGAGAGATAATAGGAGTATTACAACTAATATAATCGAGACCGATCAATCCTTTATTTATCTATGCATTTGGTTGTCGACTAAATGTGTCTTGAGCAAAGATGAAGAGAGCAGAAGACAAGAGTCTTCTTGTTTTACTCCCTATTAGATTTGAAAAAACTGAATTCTCGAGAGTTTAAATATACCGAATACCAACGAGTTACTCAAACAACAATAGATCAAATTGCACCAAAAGCTTGAGAATCCAAACTTTCTCATAACTACGAGCAAAAAAATCCATTATAATATATCATATGCCTTGTTCATATCCATTTTTAGAATGAGATTACCTTCATGGATTTTTCGATCAATGTCATTAAATAATTCTCGTGCAAAAGCTATATTCTCATTAATGACTCTACCTTTCACAAACCCAGATTACTCTTTGAAGATTAAGAGTGGAAGAATCCCTGCTCAACCTATTGTTAATCACCCAAGATAAAATTTTATATATGAATTTGTATAAACCATAAGCCTCAAATCTAAAAAATTTGAAGGATTAGCGCATTTGGGGATCGATACTAGATTACTAGTCGCAACCCTCTTTAGGGTAGCCACTTTCTCTAAAGACCTCTTACACCATTAAAGCCAGTCTTTATTAACATATCCTAGCATGTTTTGAAAAAGGAACCCATAAAACCATCATGTCCTAAAGCACTTTGATCATCTAGCTAAAACACAATAGCTTTGATTTCTTCTATGTTTGGAATAATCATGAGATCATTATTCTGCATATCTATAACTAGAACAAAAATTTTATCTAGGAATGAAACTTTCAATGCAACCCCTTCACTAATAAATTTTTTTGGAAGTACATCACCGCCTCACTACTAAGTTTACTAGTGTCCATGCACAATGAACCATCATTTAAGGTGAGAGAAAATGTAGTTTTTACCGTCATATTCCTTATACTTGCATGAAAAAAATAGCAAAATTTTGATCTCTTGTAGCTAACCATTTGACTTTAGATTTTTCCTAAAGAAATAGTTCCTCCCGATCAATTAATTTCACCAATCTCTTTTTATCCGCTTTCGGTTGTTCATAATTCCCTTCACTCCAACATCCCTGCAGTAGCTGTTTCGGGACGCATAACCTCATCCTTGGCATGGTCTAACTTTCTATTGATGTCTCCAAAAATATTCCAGTTCCAAGCCCTTAACTCACCTCATAATTTTTTTTAGCTTCAAGTGTAAATTTAGAAATGGGTCTTGACTTATCGACTTACTCCGGATGCGCTGAATAAAAGGAATAAAGTCCTTATGAGATGCCCACATTCTCTTATAGCAAATCTGGTTGGCTTCGAGTTTGAGTGCATGATGGACAATAACATGAGGCGGTGATAAGAATGCATCCTTAAAAGATGTGTTCAAATCAACCATGGAAAGATAGATAGAAAATTATGATTAACTAGGAACCTATTTAATCTCTTTCATATATGTACCCTTCCCATTTGGTTATTCCACCACTTGAACTTACTTCCTATATAACCAATATCCTGCATCTGCGAGTAGTCGTATACCACTATTAAACTCAAATATAGATTTTAGATCGGGTTGGAGACCCCCAATCTTTTTTGAAGCATCCGTTACCGTATTAAAGTCCCCTCCTATTATCCATGGCTGAGAGATATTCGGAGCATGCAGATTATTCCATACGGTTCTTTTTATAGTCGTATTACGGCTTGTATACATTGTTGTAACTAATTTACTAAAATTTATGCTAGAGTCTTATACCCAAAAAGTGATTGATTAGGAACAAATAAAATGAATGTCTACCGACAGGCTATCTTTCCATAATATCTATACTTGAGATTTGAAAGGATTTCCATATAGAAACCTAAAAAATTCAAAACTTATGCCAGCTTTGGTAATTTATCACATGCTTGTTTAGGTTCTAATAAAACAAGAGGAGATATCTTATGTTTATGAATTGGACAACACGGATATCTCTTTTTCTCCGGAGTGCCAATACCCCTTATATTCCATTTCATGCTATTTATATGGTAGGGAGAAGAAAGGCTCCCCGTTGTGATCTCCCATTAATTTAGTCACCCTTTTGCCTTTACTCCGAACCAATGATCTCGGTAGTTTCTTTTTCTATTTATTCGACGGTTTGTAGTCTTAAACTTCTATCCATTTTAATTTTTAATGATACTCTACCTCAACCCAACTTTGTTTATCCATTCCTAATTTTGAATTTACATGTGGCAATAGGTCGGACTCCATGTGATATCTCGGATTCCCATCATCCGTACTTGCATTGATTAACTCCTTGCAGATTGTTAAAAGGATTATGCATGACAAGCTCCTCCAAGTTTGCTATACTTCGTGTTTCATCTAAAACCACCATAATTGATGTTTTTTCCAATGCTATAACTTTACACGCTAGCACCATCCGATTCGGATCGCTCCTCGTTTCTCGACTCCATCATCGCTTTCTTATTTTTTAGGATTCGTTCTTAAAATTGATCGTATTGATCTTGCAAGTTTGTGAGAATAGAGTTAGGATTTGCCCCTTTATCTCCTTTTTCACCAATATCCATTTACTATTCATATAGATAATCCTCAAAGAGAGGTTGCTCATTACTCAAAGAAATAATAGGAGTTACCCCATTCTTCATCATTAACACTCTTTTGCCATTCACATCCGTTCCTTTCGATTCGATCCGTCCGTGGTATTGATCCTTTAGACATTACACCTTTTTCCACTATAATGTTCCGCATGCCACTTGTTCTTTTTTTCCTACCCTATTGACATTTTGTAGAGTGAACATTAACCTTTTTTAACGATATAGTGATAGAAGAGGATGCGGTTCTTATGTAACCTCCATGATTACGAATGGCTTGGGTCATAATGGGATTGTCTGTCATTATTTCTTTTCCTTTTGACTAATAACTCGAACCTCATGTACCGACTATTTACCAATACTTAAGATGAGAGGTTTTATGTTTCATTATTTTTATATCTAACTATTTGTCATGCCAACTCCTTATGAGTATTGTGAACCAAAGCTAGATTTGAAGTCGATGTCCACTGCTGCATGATCTACCCTATTTAAAACCAACTGTCTTCTGTCGTTATTCTTCATAACGATTCTCAAACCTTTTTAAAAAATTACTCCTTGTTTGGCCCCGAATGTGACAATAATACTAATATGGTGTGTTGGATTCTACCGGTATAGTTTTCCAAAACCTTTTAGACTTGTCCGATCCAACTGATATCTAGATTCTTGAAGAGTCGGGTTTTATGAGATTAACTTCTACGAAAGCCCTAACGTGTATAGGGTGTGATCCATTTTTTGTGTGATCATTTGGGCAAAGGAAAGTGCCAATAGGCCGAACTATTTCCTTAAGGAAAATCGATGGAAAAAAAAAGAGGAAGCCTAAGGAGTTTTAACCGGATAGCGACCACTTATAGTTTCATATTTTGGGGAAAAAGCATTAGTCTATCGAAACAATCTATATATGGAGTTGTTTATTAGATGTTGATCATGAGACCATGTTGTAATAAAGTCTTCCTTGTTGAACATTCAAATTAAAATATGGCGGGGATCTATTGACCCTATCATTGGCATCTCCCTTACACCCCAATGTTGCTAAATATGTGTATGTATCATATTGATTAGAAGTTCAATTTTCAAAAATTTTACCACTAAGGAAAACTCAAAAATCCCGGATGATAACCGCAAATCTATTACGGATAACTCTACTCGTTGGTTCTCCTTCGTATATGGATGAAGGTTTTGGTGTGATTGTTAATTAAGGGAAGTTACGTTTTGTTTCGTTTTGGTAAAGGTGGCGGTTGCATAAGTTAGTGTAGGGATATTGTCTTGCTACCGATCGGTGTGGCTATTTTGGCATACGATTTTTCCGGTGCGAGTATTTTGGGTAAGGTATTTGCATTAGGAGGGCTACTAGGATTTGGTATGGGCAAGAAGGGTTATCTCTTTCATGGAGGAAACGTGTAACCCAAGGTTTCCTACTATTGTTGCTTGGTTTTCCATAGTTGCCATTGAAAGGGTCAAAGGTTTCTATGTTATTTAATTTAAAGGTTAAAAGTATAATTTATATAATTTGTTTTTGGTTTTTTTTAATGTTTTTTTGGTTTATGCTTTACGCTCTCAACCCACTAAGTGTGACGCCCTCTCTCGGCCTACTTGCCAATTACCTAAAATGAGTCGCTAAGTGAGGAGTGTGTCACGCCGACCCATTCAATCCGACTTAAAGCCTACTACGTCCATGCTAGTATCGTAACAACATTCTACATATTACATCTTGAAAAATGTATAACACACATTACATTACAAGAATATTCACAAAGGAAGAAAGTACAAAATTTATTTACGGTACCATTGAAATTTCTACCAATACCCCAATCCGAAATTACAATCAAAATAAACTATGATATGTTTGTGTCACACATGAGCCTTTTTGGAAGATCCGACAAGCATCCTTACTATTTTGAGTCGTTCATGTCATAACATGTAAATAACAATGAGGTGAGCCGAAGCTCGGTAAGTAGGATGATGCACGTGATATGTAATGGAGTTCTATTTTCCATTCTACCCATCCATTTTTAATTCGGGTACCACTAGGTATTAGCAAGTCCGTACGTTCTAACTCTCGATGATCGTGTTATTACCTATTGCTCTATTACTCTCTCTCGGTGATCTCATTATCAACTACTACTAGCAACGACATTATCCCTCGTTGTAGCACACGGTTAGCGAAATTATCCCTCGTTTAACGATGTTAGTAATAGAGCACGCACATGGTTTCTTACTATTACCCATTTCATCAAATTCGGTTTCCAAACCGTATCATTACTTGTCTCAATTATTTTTCTAGTTTCCTTTCCATCCCCAATGCACATGATGTTACATGTATCATGTCAAACATACCCAACGTATACAAGATTCAATTTCGGAAAATTTCATAGGTCCAATAGGGTTTCGGACAATCTCATACCACTTATCATAATATTCAGCTCATTGGAGGTCACGCCTTCTTTCACCCTTAACTTGTATCGTTATTAGCATGTGAACCACTTTTTAAGGTTTTATGGTAGTATTTTTCATTTTAGAAGTCTTTAGGTTCAAGTCTCGATTCTTTTTATAGGTTTACCTTTCTATCTTTATTTCTATATATTTGAGCCTACTAGATCATTTATTACATTGTCTTGGTAAAAAAAATGGAAACCAAGAAAGTATGGAACAAATGAAAATTAATTTTTTTGTGACCGATCAATTACACGGGCAAGGACACACCCGTATGGGAGGCTTTATAACTTCCCGACTTGAAGAAAAACACGTTTTAACATTACACGGGCAAGGACACACTCGTGTGGGAGGTCGTGTAACTCTACGACTTGAAGAAAAACATGTTTTGACATTACACGAGCAAGGACACACCCGTGTGGGAGGCCGTGTAACTCTCGACTTGAAGAGAAACACGTTTTGACATTACAAGGGCAAGGACACATCCGTGTGGAAGGTCGTATAACTTTCGACTTGAAGAAAAACACGTTTTGTCATTATACGGGAAAAGACACACCCGTGTGGGAGGTCGTGTAACTTTCGACCAAAATTTTCTTCACGAAAACCTTAAAATTTCATTTTTCTTTCCTTTCCATTTTCCTTTGTCTAAGTCCATATCAACCCCAAATTCACCCACCATGTTTTGGTCAGCCCAAATTCCATCATTCTCTTCCCCCAAACATGAATTAAATTATATACAAGGCATCACTAGGGTTTGGAAAGCAACCAACACAATCAATTACTACATCCAACCATATCCATAAAATTGCAAGGCAAGCCAATTAACACCATTAATCACAACAACACATCACAAGCCAAGTAACATAACTATTTGCAACAAGTTTAACCAAGTGTATAAAGATTAAATCAATAGTATAAAGATTAAATAAATGATATAAACAAGAAAAGATAACCCACTTACTTAGATGGATTTGAGTAAGACTTTTCCTTAGCTTTTCCTTTCCTTTTCTTCTTTCTTTTTTCTTCTCTTTTCTCTCTTCCTTTGCCTTATTTCTCTTCCTCTTAATTACGTTTTTCTCTCTTTTGGCAATTAATAATCCCTTTGCAAAAACAATCTCTGTCATTCCCTCTTGTTCGCTATATATATATGTCTTCCCTTGTTTTGTATTAAATAGGCTTCTAAGTGTCTTGAAGTAATTAGACAAAGTGTAAAGTATATGGGTGAGTCATGGTAAAGGTGGCGAGTTGAGGTGGCAAATTGGTGAGTTGGCTTTCATGCCTCTAATTTAAGTGCATAGGTGTATAATTAAGCTAACTAAGTAATTCAACTAACAAATTCCCTTACTAACTTGTTTTCATCGACCAACATTTCTTCCCCTCCCCCAAAATTCCAACGAGTGTTTCATCAAAACCCAACTGTACTACAATGGACATAACTTGTTATTTATAAATCTAAAAATGATGAAATTTTAAATAGAGATATTAGACACATAGATGAACAACTGTTATTCTTTAAGTTTTATCCGAAAATCACTCTAAATTCCTCAAATAAATCACTCAAAATTCGGATAGAATATAGGCCTCAAAACACTCGATTTTTGCATAATAAATTTCTTTAAGAATTAGACCATTAATCTTAAGCACAATAAATTTAATATAACATATATCACACGTTTCAAGTATTAACTTCTCATGGTGTAATGAGAAGTATATGTACACTTCATAGATATACGGATATATAACGAGTCTTATACACGTCCCTTTACGGTTAAGGATTTTCTCGGGGGTTACACTAAGTGTAGTCATAATGTATAAAAAAATATTGAATCATCGATTTTATAAAAAAATTGATTGTGTATTTACACACACAGGACCAATTAATTGCCATTAGTTTTTTTAATATCATAAAAATAATTTCTTTGAAATAAAATAGTTAAAAGAACCATCCAATGATCCAAATACAATTTTTATGCTAATATTATTGACTATATATATATATATAAATTAAATGTACATATATATTTTTAAAATAATCTTCTCATCAACATCAAGTAAAAATAAAAAATCATATTTTGATACAATTTTATGAAAAATATATTTTTATAGCATGATTTTGAATTTTAGATTAAATTTTCAATTTAGATTATTACAAAATTTTATTTAAAAATCAATGTATAAATAAAATGATTCTTTTTTTTTTGCATTGAAAAATCATGAAAAACGTAAAAAAGAATTAATTAAATATAAGATTTTGATGCATAATTTTATTTTTTTACCTTTGGTTTCGATATGTTTTGATATACCCATAATATAGCGTAGGCTATCCAACTCAAGTGATTTTATTCTACTTAATCCTCAACGTAACACGAGCAATCGATTAGTCTTCTCTAATTGGATATGATTTTTACTTGGATGGAAGCGGATATGGAGGAGCTTTGTCTTTACGAAGGTAGAGGTGGAAAAAAATATATATTTGACTTGTTTGAATACAAAAGCAAGTAGAGTACTCTTTGACTCGATGGACCTTCATATTTAAATATAATAATAATAATAATAATAATAATAATAATATATGTTTATAATTTTTTAATACTTATCTAAAAATCACTTATGTATTTTTGTTTTTTTTTAAAAAAATTACCTTGATTAACATTATTTGATGAATGTTAAAAAAAAAAATCATGGTCTATGTACTTTATTTAATGAAAATTGACCACTCGAAAAGATCATATGAAAGTCCACTTTTGATGAAAATGGATATAAAAGGATTGAAAATTGTCTCCAATATAAACCGAGGTAGATATGAAAGTTAAAAAACCTTTATAAATAAAGAGACAGAGGGTGCATCCCTTTCTCCAAGGACTTCTCCGTTACCGTCCATAATCTTATCCATTTATAAAGGTTTAGATAACAACAAACATAATATGTTATGTTCTCTTAAAACATAAAAGGATCTCGATTCAAATAAAATTACTCACGAAAGAAGTTGTTTTTTAGTTGTTAGAGATATTTTTCCTTAAAACTCTTAAAAAATGGCAAACTTTTTAAGATTTTTAAGACCGAGTAATGTTTTGCAAAAAATCATAAGACTTTTAAGGGATTTTTTATTAAAATAAATAAATAAATAAATAAAGACTTTGTAAGAGTTTTCAAAAGGTGGGAAGAGATTAGGCTTGACTTATTTGTATGAAAGTGGGTCTTTAAAAAACACAAAAACACTTTACATTGACTTGTTTTTCAAGGGTAACCTCTCGAAAAATAAGTCAAGGTAAAGTGTTTGTAAGTAAAAGGAAAACACATATCTTTAAGGCTCCGTTTGTTTGGCGAAAAATAACATCCATAGGAAAATCAATTCTAAATAAGCTATTTTTCAAGAAAATATTTTTTGCTGTTTTATAATTACATGAAAAAATTGCTGAAAATATATATTTCAGCATTTATTTGATATAGAAAATTAAAATATCAAAACGAGCATATGATTATTACATCAACAATTGTTTTTCAAGAAAATATCTTCGTCGTTTGGCAATTACATGAAAATTAAAATATAAAAATATTTTTTTATCATTTGACAATTACATGAAAAAAATCCTAGAAAATATATTTCGGTGTTTATTTGATACATAACATTAAAAGATAAAAACGAGTATGTGATTGTTACATCAACAAGTTTTGAGAAAACTTCAAAAATACATATTCAAAATTTCACAACATAAGATACATTTAGAAAAATTTAATAAATTTTTATAAATACCGACTCTAAAATTTTAATTTAAAAAATAAAATATACTTTTTTTAACCATCAAACCAATTCATCGAAATTATTTGGGACAAAATCAAGTCAATATTCATATTTAGTAAAAAAAAAAATTCTAAGTAGTTCTAGAATTGTTATTTTGGTAACTCAATTAAGAAATTGTTTTTAAAAATTGAACTGATAATTTAATCTAAAAAGAGATTTATAAATTATTAGTTATCCTTTGTAGACAATTATTCATTTAGTTTCAAAAGATTAAGGTTAGAATAATTTGTAACTAGTTATTGATTATAATTACTAATAAAATTTTACAACTGATTAAAATTATAAATTATTAATTTAGATGCAAAAGAATAGTGTTGGAAAAATAATATATTTATTTATTTATTTATTTATTTATTTCAATTTTGTTTTTAAATTATAGTCTTGTAATAATCATTTTTAATCATTTAAATATAGTTTAGATGGTGTTTGAGATAACGGTAAAAAAAATACATATAAATTATCAAAATATTTATTATAAAAATAATTTTAAGGTGTAAAAATACTTTTTAAGAATCTTTAATGTATCTATAAATTAAAAAATCAAATATTAGTAAAAATAGAGAAAAAAATTAAATAGTTAATAAGAATTGGTAAGGAATAATTAAAAATTAATTTAATATATTTTAAATAAAAAGAAGATAGAGAAAAAATATTAAAATATCGAGAGAGGTAAGTAACGTGAGAGCGAGACAACTCGTGAGAAGGAAAATGTTTTTCTCTTTTTTAATTAGAAAAAAAAATTTAAAAAATATTTTATCATTTTTCGTTGATTGAAAATTATTTTATGTTGACTTTTTTCCTAAACGCGAAAAAAATAGTGAAAAATGAGAAAAACAAGTTTCGGAACTTGTTTTCCTCAAAACAAACACGACTTAAGAGTCGGAAGTGTTTTCCTCTTTTAAATGGGAAAAACACTTTCCACACTCTTTGTAAATTATAGGTTAACATTCCATATCGTTCGAACTTGTTTAGATTTTTTTTCTTTAAGGATGTCTTAGAATTTATTGTCCATCAATTTTTGTACAATAAAAATTATTATTATTCATTTTATACTACCCTTAACCTTCATTTTTTTCTCTCTTTTTTTAATATTGTTTTAAATTTTTAACTTGCAATATTAATGATAAAATACATAGCAATCAAGTTATATTTCATTCGAGTTATAGTATAATTATTTCATTTAAATTAAAAAAAATATTTTCTATTTTGCATGTTTCATGTCAATTTTTGTAATATATATATTTTACAATGTATGCAAAAGAAGAAGACGAATGTATTACATCATTTATCAATTATATATCCTTCAATAAAAAAATTGATAAACTGTAACTTTTAATTTATTTTTATTTTCTAATATATCTCTTTGTCAATTATTTTCATAAAAAATAACAATCATGAGCATAACACTCGAATAGTTTTAACTAGTTTTTTGGCCGCGCTACACTCGCGGGTTGGATAAAATATATAAAATTATTTAGAAAAATATATGAAATCAAATGTGAAAAAAATTATTTAATCAAAAATTTTTTATTTAACTATTTCTTATTTGTGTTTTTCATAATGTTTCCTTTAGAAAAAAAGATTTATCTTTGTTAATCCATGGATTATTGACTAAAAAGAAAATTAAATAATTTTTTTTAAAAAAAGTTTAGTATTTCATTAGATTGTGTCAAAAAATATAAATAACAACTATTAAAAGCTTACATAAAATTGAATTTTTTTTTATTTCATGTTGATGAGAATATCGATTTTTGAAAAAATGTGAATTTAAGTTTCATATATTTATTTATAAAAGAATGAATAATATTAAAATAAAAAATATATTAATTTGAATCATTCAGTGGTTAAACCAAAAAATTATTTAATTCAAAAATAAATAAATAAATAGTAAATGCTTAGTGTAGAAAAATAATATTATTATAATACGATCATAATATTAATAATCTATGACTATATTAAAAAATGACAAATTAAAGTAGTAAATTTTAAATAATTAAAATAATGAAAAGAAAATACTAAAAAAATGAGACCAAATCACAATACAATTAAAGTTTAAAATTTTAATAATAATTATTAAAAGCATACGTAAAATTGAACAAATAATTTTTTTTATTTAATGTGGATGAGAATGTCAATTTTTGAAAAAATATGAATTTAATTTTTATATATTTATTTATAAAAGAATGAATAATATTAAAATAAAAACTATATTAATTTGAATCATTGAGTGGTTAAGTCAAAACATTATTTTAATTATTTAATTCAAAAATAAATAAATAAATAGTAAATGCTTAGTGTAGAAAAATAATATTATTATAATATGATCATAATATTAATAACATATGACTATATTAAAAAAAAGACAAATTAAAGTAGTAAATTTTAAATAATAAAAATAAAATAATAAAACAAAATGAGATCAAATTATAATATAATTAAAGTTTAAAATTGAAAAAAACAAGTATGAAAAATTTGAGGATCAAAATGCTAAAAAAATGACATGAATAGTGAAAAGAATAATGATTTGTGAGTATGTGATAGTAAAAATAAATAATAAAATCATGTTTTACTTTAGTTTTTTTTTTAAGTAATATGAATTATTTAAAATACCCCCTTAAGCAAGCAATAAAATAAAACAATGATCATGTGCACAACTCGCCATAATTTTAATATGCGATTAAGATTACCCGAATTCAAATCTCCGCACCAATATAAATATTTTTTGTTTTCCATTAACTTAGATGAGTATTTTTTTTTAATTTATATTAAAACCACTAACCTACTACGTGTGTAACCATCATTTTTAACGAAACTGAATAACAAAGGAATATATTTGAGAATAAAAACAAAACTAAAATTACAATTGATTTATATTTTTATAAAAGAGTATCGTTGAAAAATGAAGTAATATATAAGGATATATTGATAGATTTTCCTAATATGAAAAAAAGCTTTTTAATTTATTTTTCATTATCCGATCAAACATTAAACATTAGGAAATGATTTCTAGTTTATTTTTTATGACACCTCGTTTGGAACCAAATCTAGGATGAAATTCGAGTTTATTTTAGTAAGTAGAATTCAATTCGAGTTCATTTAATGATAGAATTCATGTGTTTGGAATGAATATACAATTAATAGAATTGAATTGATTTCTCTTGTTTGGAAGAATTTGAGAAAGAATTGAACTTTTATAACTTTACCATAATATCCTTTTTCTATATTCCTACTCCTTTACAATCCTCCTCTTCCTTGAAACTGAATTTTAGTCTACTAGAAAACAAATGTCGATACATTGGTTTCTCTTAATTAACAAAATAATTTTCATACTTGAATTAAACATGCAAAGGTTGTAATATTAATAACAATAAACTTCACAACTATATCTTTATAATAATGCATATCCAACTCTTTACATATTCAAGTTAAACCCAATGCACCTATAGTTAGCTTTCAATATTAACAAAAAGTTAGTAAAGTTGGTGATGTAGTTACCCATTACACAAAAGGGTGCATCCGATAACTTTCAAACTTCCAAAAAGAACTTGTAACCTTTCAATTGTTCATTTTTCTAATAAGCCATTCCATGCGAAGATTTTCCGGACATGCAAAAAATGTCCCAATAAGGCTCGGATGAGCTACAAGCCAATCAACTCGAATCTAAGAGTGATGTACTTTTCAAATTAAGCTTTTCCATCGCAGCAAAGATTTCTTCTTCTACCCAAATACGATGATTAGTTTTCGAATTGCTTATGCTATGCCTTTTATAGCATCGATTACTTCTTGGATCTCCCTCATTATTTGTGCCTTTCGTTTAGTTCCTTTGGAAGAGACTTCTTTCGATGACGAAGCTGCTACATCGAGCATGGATATGGTTTGTACTCGATTGTTTGGTGTTGATGGAGAATTGTGGTTATCGAAAGAGGAAAAGTTCTCCAAATGTATTTCATTGTTTATTTGCCTATCATCAATATCCTCAATCCGTATCTCTCTTTGCTCCCTTTCTCATCTTTGAACTTTCTCTTTAACACTCTTAGCACCATCACCGGTTGCTCGATCTTTTTCATAGATCTCACGTAACAATTCTAAATTGAAAAGTTATTTATCTCGAATCAACCTTATCTTGTCATTAGCCTATTCACAAAATAAATAATCGAATAGTATCTAATCCACATGTTTGGATATTTCTAAAACCATCGAACTAAAATTAACAAGCAATGCAAATTGACTAAGTCACTTCTATTAAAAGCATATAAAAAAAAGAACTTAAATAAAATATATAAGAATTTGTGAGGGATGCTAAAAGGAACTTAAATCCGGTTTTATATAACTACAACGAGTGCATGTCAATTGAAGATCCAACTAACTAATACATCGATTCTTGATTTAACATTAAATCTATAATAATGGTGTAAAATTTACAATGATAATATATATCTTACATTGATTAAGTCATCCCAAACAGTTGGTTTAGCATCTATCTTTTTGGTAACATCATTCCACGAGAAACCACTCTTTTAAATTAAGACTATCAATGCCAAACCCATTTGATCTTTCAAAGTCTTCAAGCGATTAACGATTTTCTCGCCTTGTAATTTTGATTCCAAACTTTTCATTCATTTACGCAACCACAACTCGATAAGCTTCAGCAAAGAAGCTTTTATCATCTTTTTTTTCCTTTGAGTTTTTGTTCTTTAAGCACCTCTAACATCAATCGTCCATCTCTACACTCCGTCTAAAATAACCATCATTGTTGTTCTTACCTTTTTGGCCATTAACATTAGTAACCTCTCGTACTTCATCCATGACTTGTCCTATAAATGCAAATCATGAACAAAATACAAGTTCTTCCATGTCAAATATTGAAAGGAAAAAAAGGGTTCCAAGTAGAATTAAATGTTAACATTTACATTGCTAAATGAAAAAAACAAACAACTAGAAAAAACAAATAAGATCCATTAAATTACAAAAACAAATCATACATAGGTTATACCAAAAAAAGAACAAGAAGCATCTCAATAATATATTTCAAGACTAAGTAGTATAAGAGATTTAAATAGTTCTTCGAGAAGTGTAACCATGCCACATCTCCGTAGCAATAGCTTCCCTTATCATTTCCCCTCTTCGACCATCCTCGCTTCTTCCAATATATGTTGAACCAATTTCATGGTCAAGTTAGTTCGTCATGAGTTCCCTATCAACTTCGGAAATTAATTGTTCATCCGGATCCACACCTATAAGACAATTATATAAAATACAACATGCTTATTACAATTTCGAAAGAGTGTTCACATCATATTGTGCCTCGGTACCACTTGTAATTATTGGAAAATGCTTCTTTAATACATCAAAACTTCTTTCAATTGCATTTCTCAAATAAGCATGTCGCAAGTTAAACAATTCTTTTGCATTTTCGGGACCATGTTGGGAATATTCTTTCAAGTGATAACTTGTGCTTCTATATAGAGTAATAAATCCCGATCGTAACATATATCCCGCATCTGCTAAATAGAAATTACCTAAAAAACCATAAACTACGTGTAAAAATTTTACAAATTGCATGCAATGGCATAATGAAAAAAGTTTATATGAACTAGTTTTTGTACTACCTTGAGGAACTTGTAACTTATCCTCCCTACTTAAAGCATTTTCTAACACTCTTGAATCGATGCGGAACCTTCCCACCCAAGTAACACATATGTAAATTTTAAGTCAAATGTGCATGCGACCAAAATGCTCATTATAGGAATCCCTTTTCTTCCTCTATATCTTGCCACTTGATCTCTAGGAACTTTAACATGAATGTGTGTTCCATCAATAGCACCAATGCAATTCTTCAAATTTCACATTAAAGTTAGCATTTTCAAACATAAACATGAAGTCAATGATCGTTGTAATTTAATAAAACATACCTTAGAATATGGATAGTATCTCCTTTCTCTCGTGTATTTCGATGGAATTATGGAACCATTTAGTTGGACTAAAAATTGAACTTCAATGGATATAATTGCCCTAAGGACTTGATGAAAATGACGGCTAACGAGTCTCATTCGACCGACAAAAGAAAAATTTCACGAGTACGATTACGAACATTACATCCTATAATATGGAGGAATTTAACTAATTGTTCCTCAATTGTACTATATTGGTTATCTCTCAAAAGACCTCTTCCTCATAAAATTGAAACTAATCGTCGAAAAGCATTGGGTCTCATACGTATTATATCACGTGAATCTTCACTTGTCTCTAAAGTCCTAAGCAATTCTTGTCTAACTTCTTCTCTATCCCTATTTGATTCGAAATTGGTCTATCTAAATGAGATGCATATTGATAGAGTTTAACTAAAAATACTACATAACCCACATAAGCAATCAAAAAAGCGAGCATTCGTCTCAAAATCTGTCATAATGTCACATACATTCATGGATTTTTTTAATCAAGTGAAAGATAATTAAAAACGAGTAAATCAAACTCCAAGTGGAGAAAAACGACGACAAACATAACAAAACAAAACAACGAGTAGTAGCAAGTTGAAAAATAAGTTGTTTGCACAAAAATAATTGAATCTCCGTATCAACAAACTGAAATTATGTTTTTGTTTATTCCAAGCATGGTAGGCGAAACCACCCTCCAAAGAATTCATAGCTTAAAACAAGGAGAAGCCAAAATTGAACAATGAACCAAAAATGACATAAACTTCGTTGTTTCCTTTATTGTGGTCTTTCTCGGTTTCATCAAATAGGTAATAAAGCTTCTACCTTTATTTTTTTCTTCTTAATTTAATCCTTCGGTCTTCTTGGCTTTCATAGGCTTGCATCAATAATTTATCGGTTTGAACTGGCTTCGGCATTTATTCAATTCCTTGGACTATCTATCATTGTTTACATTATTTTTGGGTTCTTAAAGTTACAACTTAACTTGGCTTTAATTTTTTTTTCTTGTCCGTGTTTTCTAATTGAGAAAAATGCGAAACTAAGTTACAACTTAGTTAATTCTTTATTTTATTTTTGTAAGTCCATAACAAGGTGTCAAGGTCATTACAATATTGGTTATTGCTAAAATGCCGAAACATGCCTAAGTAGAACCAAATGTCAAGACCAATATCAAGTAGAGATTTCTACGAGACTATAAAAACCACGATGCTCAAAGCATCATCAAAATTAAAAATATGCCATGAAAAAAATCATAGGTGCTCGATGAAGTAAAAAAATTACCTTCGGAGGGTTTGTGTTTGGTGAAGCAAAATTGCACTAAAATCAAGACGGAAGAAAAAAGGATGAGATTTGAGTAAAAAAAACTTTTGATTTTGTGGGTTGTTGATCTATCAATGGAGATGAGATACCAATTGGAATGAAATGATTGCTTGGAGAGGAAAAGTTGTGGTCTTTAGTGGGAAGAAAAACCAGATTTTAGAGTTTCCGGGTGATAAAGTAAGGGTAAAGATGGTTTTCTTATTTTAGAGGGAATGAGACCCATTTTTAGTCATGAAAGCCAATAGAATTCTACACAAATCACTTTATTTTTTTGTTGAATTTCTTCTGTACAAAAATCTTCACTTTTTGCTCCCAAATGAATTCTATTCTTCCTAATTTTATTACTTATAAATATCCAAACAAGATATTTAGATTCAATTCTATCTAATTAAATTTAATTCTATCAAAATAAGGAGATTCCAAACAGAATGCGATATAAGCATACACATGGAAATTAGTTTAAAAAGAAATCAGTTTGAAACTGAATTCACGAAACTGCGAAGAAAAAAGAGTGTTGTGATATTTGAAGTGGGGTTGGTTTGGTCGGTTAAAGTATTTCTATTTTATTAGCCCGGCCCTGTTATAGCTTATTTCCCAAAATGTTGAAAACAGTGACACGTTTTTTGGACAAGACCCTTCGAAAGCAACTCTACCGTCATGTTTATCTCATGGATTATTTCTTACGAAGCAGTAAAGTATTGACTTTTACTGACTTCACGGCAAATAATACAAAAGGTGCAAAAATAAAAAAAGTGCCAAAAGTTAAACTAGGTCTCAACCGTCAACCTTTTTAGCTTCTAGTTAAGTGATTTTTAGCTCCGAAGTCCAAACGTAGCACTTAACCAATTGGTTTTTTTTTTTTTTTGGGGTACTTTCCCTTTAAAAAAACAATATTGTTTGACTTTTTAGAAACGAATCTATGAAGCATGGTGTTAGATGATGGGTCAACGTAGAGAAAGAATGAAAAAATGAGATTATGATGGGCCTAGGAGTCTGAAATTGACTTGAAACCAAGCTTGATCTTTATCTCAAGTGATGGATTAACAGTCACAACAACAGCCCTTTGATAAATCTCAATCTAACAGTACCACCTAATCATCATGATTTGACATGGCAGCCTAGGCTAGTTTTCAACTTTTCCTCCAACCCTATTTAGAGAGACCTCCCTGCCTAAAATCCATATAAATAGCTGGTTAGTAAAGACTGAAAGCAATTGAAATTGAATATGCTTTGGTTAAGTGGATAATGCAAAATTTGTTGAAACCAAATCTTGGCAGTAAAGAGTTGTTATCCTTACGGTTCAACCTTCTTAAGTTTTCTCCGTCGCCTACCAATTAAAACGACATCATTCTGAATCTTTTCCCATTAGCGGCCATGGGGAATGATAATTTCGCTGTCATGTCACTCGCGTAGGCTTTTATAGCAGCAGGTGCATATGTTCTACGCTATACATGCCATTTATTTCAAGCACGACTTTCAACATCACCAATATGTATGTATATATTGGTTCATATGATTTCTAATCATTAATTGTGTATTTTTATATTATATAGATGTGATGTAGTTATAAAAAAAATAATTTTAAATCCAATTTTGATAATCTTATTTGTAATTATGAACGAATCGAATATAAATAATATGTAATTTAGCAATAATTATAGCCAATAAAGTGGAAAAATAAATTTAAATTCCAAAAAAAAAAATTAATTTGAAATTTCCAAACATTTGAACATAAATATTGTGAGCCAGGCTGAATCTTATAAGAGGAATGCCGATTTAATGTGTGAATTAAATATTTGTCCCAATAAATAGTTTCAATCGTCAGAAGTTGGGATCGCACATTAAAGTTATTGTTGTTAAATCTTTTTTTTTCCCTGGCCCCCAAAAGAGAACAGGTCAATTAGTTTTTGAAGTACAACAATACTCCGACCATACAAGGAAAGTAAATACGAAAATTCTTTTATTTATTTTATTTTTATATATAATAAAACATCATGGTAGTAAGAATACGTGAAACTGAAGTGCTAAAAAAAAAAGCCTATCTTGGCACGTGAGCGTTAGATTCATGCTTACATTAATAAAATCGCATGCTAAGAAATAAGAATTCTCGTATTATACTGTCTTAAGAAAAATAAAAATTGCAATAAAGACAAACAAATAAAATAATAATTAGAGTAATAATTTAGTAAAGAAAAAAAAAGGGAGGAAATATCCATCGCAGAGAAGCGAGAAAGTGGAACGACTGAGAAAGAAAGAAAGAGAAAAGAAAATGGAAGTTTGGTGTTGGTGAGAAGGAAAGAAAGAAGCAAATCAAAGCAGCTCTGCAACGACAACCAAAAAAGAAAGAAAAAATTCTTTTTTTTAATCTCTCGGAGGAGAGAGAAGAATGCTGGAAAAAATTGAAGGTAAGCGATCCGCGATCTGGCAGTGAATAAGCTGGAGCATTAAATGCGTTTAGATCCAGAAAAGAAAGCATTCTTGTCGGTGTAATTTGGCATTTAATCTTGGAATTCGAGATCTTCTTTGAAGAATTTTTTACTCGAACATATATTTTCTTTTTGGTTTCTGCTAAGTGAAGTTGCTCTGCTGCTGCTGTTACTTGCTGAGTTTGCTCCTCCTTAACACTGCCTTAGAACGGTGATTTTTTGCTTTGTTTCTTCGGTGGAAGGGTATTAGGAGTTGAGTTTGAGTTTGAGTTGAATTGGGGGTTTTTTGAGTGTGATGGAAGTTAGTATTGGCGTGTTGGGATCATAATGGAAAGGAATCTAGGGTTTTGATATTGTATTGCGAGAGGGAGGATGCTGTTTGCTTCTTATTTTCTTAGAGTTGTTGAGCTACTTCATTTTGAATGCTGCATTTGCTTCAATTAATGTGATGGTATATGCTATGCTGTGGTGTTTGTTTTGGAAGATTTGGTGTTAAAGGGAATTAATTGGCTGAGTTTCAGGTTGCTAGAAGTGGAGTTAATTTAATTTGGTGAAGCTTTAAAAAGATGGAAACCTGAAATGAAGGCTTGAAGCTTCATTTTTGGGAAGAAAGGGTGTTTTGGTTAATTTATTTGTTTGGCTTTGTCGTTGGATGTCGGTTTTTTGGCAACCTGGTTGGAAAAAAGGTTATTTTGGTTTTAGTGTCGAGGAGAGGTTGAAGTGATTAGTTTGGAAATTTATTTGTAGCGGAGGAGATGCCTCCTTCTCCGGCATTGAGATATTCTCCTGGGAGAGAGCCAAAAGCAGACAATCATAAGCGAGGACGTAGCCTTGAAGGTGGGCTGCTATTCAAAGAGAAAGATGACGATCTTGCCTTGTTTAATGAATTGCAGTCTAGAGAAAGTGAGAATTTCTTGCTTCAGTCAGCTGATGACTTTGAAGACTCATTCTGTAATTTTTCATGCAACCTCCGTTCTTTCATTTGGTTTATTTATTGTGTTATCTATCCTTTCCTGAATATAAATGTTTATAAGCTTCTTCTGGCTAATCATGTTGCATGCTCCGTTGTTGAATTAAATTGTTCTATGCAGCTACAAAGTTGAGATACTTTTCAGACTTCAAACTTGGAATTTCAATCCCTGCTCGAGGAGAGAGTAGCGAACTTCTTAATGTAGATGGGGAGAAGAATGACTATGACTGGTGGGTTATGGTTTACTATTTGGAAATATTTTACAACTCCTTCCAAATTTTTTGTTTCGCTAGTAAACAGAAGGAAATATCTAAGTTTTGACAAAGAGAAACTTGTTTTTATGCCAGTCCACTCACGTCTAGCGTATTCAATTTATCACAGTTAAAAATTCAAGTCTCTAGGTATACAAGCTAAATTTATCATGGTTAAGAAGTCAAGTTTCTAAATGTACAAGCTAATAGTGCTACCAATTGGTTCATACATTTGCAAAAGACAAGCTGAAGAATGATAAATTTATAATAATTACATCACATTTTTTCTTTTGCATCCTGCTTTTAAGCTTGTAAGAATGCTGTTAGCTGTTCTTGCTTTTGATGAATTGCTTGGTCTTCATAATGTTTAGGTTATTAACTCCACCTGACACCCCACTTTTTCCTTCTTTGGATGATGAGCCGCCACCAGTTAATGTTGCATCAAGGGGCAGACCTCGTAGTCAACCCATTTCCATATCGAGATCTTCGACAGTAAGTCATTGACTGCTTTTATGGAATACAATTTATTTACTATACCAACCCCCCCAAAGGCTCAGGATAGAGAATATAATTCTATCATTCTTAATTTCCTGTAATTGAGATGTGTGCGTCCATTTATAGATGGAGAAGAGTCACAGGAGCAGTAGGGGCAGTGCAAGTCCAAATCGCTTAAGCCCTTCTCCACGTTCTGGTAATAGTACGTTTCAGTCAAGAGGAAGACCATCATCAGCACCTTATGCTAGTCCAACTCCCGGTCAACGACCTGCCACTCCTTTGCGCAGACCATCTCCTCCTCCAAGTAAAGCCTCAACACCTGCTCCAAGGTCTTCAACTCCAACTCCAAGAGGAATGAGCACAGGATCGGGGGCAAGGGGAACTTCCCCCATAAGGACAAGTAGAGGGAACTCTGCTTCACCAAAAATAAGGGCATGGCAGTCAAATATCCCAGGTTTCTCCTCTGAAGCACCACCGAATCTTCGCACTTCTCTGGCTGATCGGCCAGCATCATATGTAAGGGGTTCCTCTCCAGCATCCAGAAATAGTAGGGACTCAGGCTCAAAATTTAGCAGGCAATCAATGTCACCGGCCTCCAGAAGTGTCAGTTCATCACACAGTCATGATAGAGACCGAATTAGCTCACACAGCAAAGGTTCTGTGGCATCATCTGGCGATGATGATGTGGACTCTCTACAATCCATTCACGTGGGTAGCTTAGACCGATTAACTTCAAAGAGAATTGGTGGCTTTCCTAATAATAGAGCTCCTGCATTCTCCAAGAACTCAACTAGAGTAATTTCCCCAAGTTCTGCTCCAAAAAGATCCTTTGACTCTGCTCTTCGTCAAATGGTATCTCAATGTCTATTTCACTTAACCACACTCTTTTCTATTAAATATTTACTAGCGATAATTTTTGCAAGTATCCCTGCAGTATTCACTCAACATGCTTGACTTCTGTTGTGCAATATTGATCATCTGATTTGTAGTAAAATTCACACTTAAAAACTAAGTAGCTCATGTTCCTTTTTTTTTTTTGTTTTACAAAAGAAGAAAAATGTAATTTACGCTGTCCACATTGCTTTTCATAATTATCACAAAATCATATAAATCATATACCATTGCCTTTTCGGTAAAATTACAATTGCCACTTCTAGAGTTAGGTTATACACAAAGATCTGTGCCGTACTTCAGACATTAAGGTGAGCTTCCATGTGCAAATTAGTTTATAGACAATTTCAATAGCTTTTATTGTCCCCGTAATTTCCTGTTATTTATTGTCCATGATACTAAACTCAAAAAGCTTCCTCAGATATATAAATATAGCCAAAATTGTCATGAACACCATTTTACGACCTACCTCAAAACCTTAAATTTGCAAGCTCGTTTTAGTAATAAACCCTACCATCAAGCTAACCTATTTCTAATGCCTACAATTATGTGGGAAGTCATCAAAATTCCTAAAAACACGTGGGCTTTAACCAATCCTAGAGGAGATCACACCTCCACCTGCATCCTCCCTACATCCTCCACAACCCAAAAGAAAAGGTGGAATAAGAAAATATCCCTTTTTGAAATGATATTGAATGAAATGAATCTTTTATAAACTTATCCAAAGAATTTTTTTTTAAATCTGCTCAACTGTGATAACAAAATAGTATCAGAAAGGAAAGGCATCCCGAATAGTTATTGTGTCCTTTTTTTTACCTTGGCAGTTTGGCAAAATCTTTCTTCATTTTTATTTCTTGGTAATCACAGCCAGTATAATAAGAATATTCTCTCTCTCTCTCCTTTTTTTTTTTTTGAATTGGAACTTTAAATACTATAACACATAGTGGTTAGCTTCTGTGCAGCTCCGAAATAAATGCTTTGTGATAAAATCAATTATGCACTTTCTAGTTCGATATGGTCTTACCAAATTGTCTATTAATTAAAATTATGTAATTAGTTAAACATTTTTGTTGTGTTCGTGCTGTCACATTGTTGCTGGAATAATGCAGGCCTAAAATATCCCATTTGACAACTAAGAAGAAGTTTTGCATTGACTATTGATTGATGAACTAATATAATATTTAAATCATTAGTTATTGTATCTTATGAATCAGAATATATGTATTAGAGTGGTTTGTTGAGCCAGTTATTTATGGAATTTTCTGAGAAACCTCAAGTAATTTGTAGTTCTCCTGTGAAAATCGAGTGCTTGCTTTTACTTTCCTCTCTTAGGCATTTGCAATTTTTCAGAAGCCTTGGTGTGCAGATCCTTTATTTGATTAATATTTTTGTGTAGGATCATCGGAAAAGTCCCCAGAACATGTTCAGACCACTTCTATCTAGTGTCCCCAGCACTACCTTCTATACTGGAAAAGCAAGTTCTGCACATCGCTCTTTGATGTCGAGGAACTCTTCTGTTACGACCAGCAGTAATGCAAGTTCTGATCAAGGTACCAGTGTTGCACCTGATACCGAGGGAAGTGACCACCACCAGGATGAGATGGCAACTGAAAGTTGTAAGGTTCCATATCCTGATGCTCAGGAAGAGGTTTTTGCCTTCGATAAGGTGGATGCATTAAATAAGGATGTCAGGCATGATGCAGACAATAGCCTTCACTTTCAGCTGCATGACTTTGACAGGGACCCCACAATTGAATATGAGCCTGGTGAGACTGAGGAGTTCAGACACCATGACAAGGAAATCAGTTCTGCTTCTGACACTTTATGTGTCGAGGCTGATTTGTCAGAAGTTGACAGTCTAGAAAACACAAGAGTTTGTTCTAAATGTGGTTGCAGGTATCGTGTTATCAAAACCCTCGATAAGGATGTCAATCTTTGTCCTGATTGCTGTAGGCAAGACAATCTTGTTGGTACTGCCACTCCAAATGCAACAATAGTAGCCTCTGAGAGCGTCCCAGTACTGTCTATTAATATATCTGAAGAATACCAGCCATCTGATGAGCCAGATACCCAGATGGCTGTACCTGAACTACAGCCACAAGTTAATGATATGGAACCACAAGTTGTTGATACGGTTGATGCAAGGGTTTCCCGGCATGAAGACAGAGTTGAGCAAAGCGAGACTTCATGTCATGAGCAAAACCGTGTTTATTCCCGAGAAAGTTCTCGTACTAGGTCTTTGATGGAGGGAAGTGAACATAGTACCGCCGGCCATCATGAAACAGGACATCCACCTGCTGGCTATAGCCTTCCTGGTGGAAGCTCTGGAGATCAGCTATTGCCTCACTCAAATAACTATCCAAGTTTGAAGGCTGGTGTTTCAGAAGGTGCTGGCATTTCTGTATTGCTCAAGAGGTCTAGCAGCAGCAAGGGGCCTGTTGTTCAAGGCAGGACTTTAATTGCCTCTACCATTACTTATGATGATTTGTCGTATGCAAGAGACAGTGTGAGCAGTTTGAGAAGCTCCATTGGGCATGGTAGCACATCTGCATCATCCTCCATTGATTTCAGCTCCAGCAAACAAGTTGAAACACGTGTTCAACGACAGTTAAGTGGCAGGAAATCTGACATGGAGAACTACAGATATGACCTAAACTCAAGATCTCAAAGCACTATGACATCTTTATCTGGAACTTTAAATGATGGTCATCAAATTCAAGGTCTTGCAACAAACACACATGAAGAAAATGCTGAGGTCTTTGTTGGCAATATGAAATATGATGGGTTGGAGGAAACATCTGTAGCTTCTCAAAGGATATTGCTGGCTTCAGAAAATAAAGAAATGGATATTTCTCGTGCATTTTTTACTGAAGCAGCAGTTCCTGAAGAAGATTTGTTTGAGCAAAATGACAGTAATAGAAAAATTGATGTCTCTTCTTCAGATTTGTCACATCACACAATTGGCGTTCAGTTGGAGGAGAATTCAGTACTAAACCATGACAACTTTTCTTCATACGAAAATGGAGAAGATTTGCCAAACAATGCAGTGGATTTCTCAGATGCAGAATCATCAGCTATTCCTCCAGAGGCTTCTGTTGAAGCCAAACATAACATGCTGAACACTAGACTTGAGAGATTGGATGTTGCTGAGTTTTCTACTCATAGTCATTTGGCTTCAATATCAGAAATAGAAGTTGAGAACAACTGTCATGGTAATGGCTCAGAGAATGATGATATCTCGACAAATTCTAGGAGCACCGTAAATGAAGCTCAGGATCATCCAGTCTCAACATGTTCAGATAAGGAAACAACCGCTTCTGTTTTGGAACACAACATGCCAGATCATGCAGATGGAATAATAGGTATGTTTAATCCTGGCTTGTGATTTGTGTTGATCATGTGTCATTTCTAGGTTTGAACACAATTGACTGGAATGTGGCTCTGTTTGATGGAGTTGAAATCTGTTTTATTTGCTTTGGTAGTCCGATAAACATCTTCTGTTAAATGGTTTGTTTTCTGGTGAGAATAATGAGTCAGGTTCTGCAGCTGGTAAAATACAACATTAATGCAATGTTAGTTGCAATTCCTCTGTTTGCAAAATGATTTTCCAGTTTCCGCATGCTTGCTACATATTTTAATCTAATGCCAACTTTGAAACCGGACTGTTATGTTTTGGTTTGATTCTCTAACAAGTGCATTGACTTTGCACAGAGGAGTCAACCATAATGGTAGACTGTCGGGGAGGGAGCAAGTCAAGAAGCCTAACCCTTGAAGAAGCCACAGATACAATTCTTTTCTGTAGCTCCATTGTTCATGATCTGGCCTACCAGGCTGCAACAATAGCCATCGAAAAGGAAAGTTCAGTCCCATTGGAAGGTTCTCGGCCAACAGTTACAATTCTTGGAAAATCCACCGCTGACAGAAAGGATCCACGCGGAAGACCTGCTGGAAAACGTACTTCAAAATCCCTAAAAGTCAGGCAGAGGCGGGCAGAAGCAGATGTAAAACAGTCTGCCAACAAGACTGAAAATGATGAGAATGCCAATGAATCTATGGTGCGTAATGTTGGGCTTCCGAACGAGATGGACAGTCTGAAGCCACCAAAGCTGGAATCCAAGTGCAATTGCACAATAATGTGAAAGTCTTTCATTCACACTGTGTGACTCTGCTACTTTCTCCAGCCACATGGAGAGATGCCTGAGTGCTTTTATGCTAATAGTTTGTGTTTGAAGGCTGTATGGACTGTTGCCAATTCATTTATGTTAATTCCAATTTATTTGTAAGAAGCACCAATATGTGTTGGTGACATAATTGTAAAGTTTTTATCAGGCTGATATCAGCAAGGCATTGGAGATTTGTGTTTGCTCTGCTCCAGGTGCAATATTCGTGTTAGCTATCCCGTCTGGTTCAAGTGCTCCCGTAGAAAAAAGTGTGATTTAAACCCAGTTATTCATAGTTGTTATGATTGTTTAAAAATATAGCTTGATTTTGTTGGATGGCTTATCTATGGCGGCATTTCATATAATTTTACCGTTGTGATCGCAAAAAAATAAAATTTGGACCTGGGTGCTCATAGAACAAGTTAAGAACGGTAAGAATTTATATATATATATATATATATATATATCGTAATTATTGATGTCTTTGACTTGACCGTTGTTCCTTGAAGTCTTGCAAACGCAACATTGGATCAAAAGTGGGTTTTTTATCGACCTTTTCGACCATCAAATCAACACCTTTCTATATAATAATAATATTTTTTTACTTAAACCAAAGAGTTTGTAATCTTAAAATATTGATATCTTATATATATCACAAGAGGTAATATATTCAAATTCCAACTGGTTAACTTTGTTAAAAATCTTGGATATATGAATTAAAAAAAATACTTTTCTATTTAAATTTCTACTATTTTTATTATCTTATTATATATTATTTGTAAAAAAATATTAGTGTCTTTTAATAGGAAAGTGGTATATATCTATACTATTAATTTTACTAGAAAGCTTACAATACCATGGTGGTGATTTTTTTACGAAAAAATTATGAATTTAAATTTTAATAAATTAATTTCGTTAAAAGTTTTGAACGTGAGCTAAAAAAAATACCATTAATCCTTTTTTTTTTTTTTTTAAGCATGTGTGGTGCACACCCTAAATACACCTGCCGAGATACTGGGCTTGATATTTTTAAACGAGTAGAGCGAGGTCTTTCTCGTTTTTTTTTTAATCGTTACACTTGTGGTTTCCTTTAAATAGCTCAATTCTTTTATTTCTTTCATTTTGTTTCTTCCTTGTCTTTGCTCTCCAGCTTGACAATTCTTTTTAGGTTGTTTTTTGCTTCGCCCTCTTTGCTTTTCTCACTTCAACTTATCTTCACGACGATCGAGTACCTTTTATGTTCTCTCCCTTTGTGATTGTCCTTGCTTACTAGGTACATATCTCTTCATCTCTTTCTTTTCCTTTTTATTAAATGGACGATCCTTAGGGAAATTTTATTGGTCTAGAGGACTTAGATTTATACCTTTTCGCCCTTAATTTTTTTTCGTCTTCTTATGTCTATTCATCCGATGGCAATTTGGACTTTTCCAAGTTCCTCTTGGATAGCAAAGTTCCTATACCTACCAAACCCTTTCGCTATCTACATACCGTAGATATCAAACTAGCGAATAATGTTACCCACCTCACTATTTTCTCAAATTCTCCTTTTACCTCCTCCGATCGCTTAAATGATAGTTATAAATCTTCCTTTATGGACAAGTCCCTAAGTGTATCCTCCGAGCATATCTTTTTTTACCTCGATCCGTATTGTTTGATGCACAACATCTCCATTTCCCAATCATGTTTAATTGATCGAAAAGCATAATTATTTAGGATCTTGTTTTTCATTCTAGATAATGACACACTTAACGCTTTTTCCAATATCTTGAATCAACTAGATGACTATAGGATGATGTCATGTCTCTCTACAAAGAGACGTTAGACGTTAGGCTTAATTTCTTTTTCCATCCCTTTTTGATATGGTTTCTATATGAGTACAAACTTACCCTCGCTTAGCTTGCTCTCAATTTTCAGCATCTCTTTTCCAAGGTCATTGTTTTGGCCACCATCTTGGTCGAGTCTCTTCACTTTACATCATTTGATGTTTGTATTGGCTAACTAGAGTGAGAACTCGTTTCGTTTTCTACTATTTTCAAGCTTGGAACAAAAAAGGTGAATTTCCTCCTAACAAATTCCTAAATTCTTAAAATTTTAGAAGACCAACCATTTTTATATTTGTCATCCCGATGGAAAATGTCATTTTCCTTAATTTAGAAGATCATTAAATTCAAAATTTTTAATAAGAAGCCTATTTTAACACCAATCGAAAAACAAACAATCTAACTAATTTAGGAAATGGGCAAGATCACTCTTTCGATTTTGTTGGTCCATATGGCTACGAGGGGTTTGACATGATTCGATCAATATTTGGATGCACTCCGTGCATTATTTTGATTGACCGATATAGCTAGGAGGATATCCCTTAATGCTCGGATCGAAAGATGCCAAACTATACGAAAGCTCAAATACACAAGCAACAAATAAGTAGCCATAGGTCAACACCCCTAGCTATAAAACCAGCCTCAATTACACTCCAAATAAACCTCAAACAACATACTATCAAAAAGAAAATCACAACCAACTAAATCCTCAACACAAACACACACAATCTCTAAACAAGCAACCACAATACTTGTAACTAGGATAGGTACGATCCTTAAATAAATCAACTCAAAATTAATTGAAACTTTACCGCAACCTAAATAATATCCGAAGTATATGTGTGTCAAATTTTAGATCAATCTAAGCCTTGTGAATTTTTTTTTTTATAACAAGTTAAAATTTTGGACATAATAGATTTGAGAATTTACAATGATTTCAACACCTCCAAAACCCCAACAAATATTTTTGGAATTTTCTAATTTTTTTTTTTACAGGAGCTAACTCAATACCTTATGAACTACTATCAAAATTTTAAATCAAACAAAATCCCTAACTTTGGTTATCGACTTTGAGACCAAATTTGTTCGATCCCGAAACCTAGATTAACTCGTAATTTATCAAGTAAACACAAAAATAAAAGTAAGCCCCAATGCCTCACCCTAGAGAAAAATCCTCCACCAATGTTTATTTATAGAGTACTCACAAGATACATTTGCCAAGAGTTCACTAGATTTAATTACCGATCTAAGCCCATGTTAGTTGATCACTCTAAGGATGTGTTTACGACGTCCTAGCCAATCTAAGCAGAGAAGATACGCAATAAGTTATAAAGAAAACTCTTAATTTTTCATTCAATTTTTAATTTTTTTAATCAAAGTCTACCGAAAAAGAAGTATAAGGTGTGCTTAAATATCCATCCCTAAGACCTAAAGAGTCAACTAAGGTTTGGTCGATTATGACTCTTTTTTAAAAAATAAAAAAATAAAACTTTGTTCCTAAATAGAATTCTTTTCCTAAGTAGACTTCTTTTCTAATTGGATTTGGATTTATGCTATCCATATTCAATTAGGAATTAATTAATTCAATCCAACTAAATATGGATCCACATATTATATGGACTCATAAATATATAAGGAATCCTAAATAAATAAGGATCCTTAATACATAATGATCAATCACCCATCTAGACCATATTCAGCCATGTCCTAATTTAAGTAGGAAACTTGAAATTCCTTGAGGAATAATTAATTAGCCTAAGCCTATACAATTAAAATAACTCAAATAAATAAAAGATAATAGAATAGATATGATAGAGGGCTGAAAGTTTTGACCATTTAAAGGTGGAAACTTTCAACCAATAAGAGGTGGATGCTCCCGCATCATACTTTCCGGGTTAAAGAACGATCAACCTTGATGTCATGGTCCTTATCTTCCTCTCCAAAGTATGGTGAAAGGTCTTTATCCTTGAGATTAGGTAATCTCTAGGTAAGTGTATCTTGTATGTATGTTCACCCATCCTCTTGACAACTCGAAATGGTCCTTTTATGTCTTTAAGTTTAACAAACCTACGCTATGATTGTTGCTTTTTCTTAATAATCACCAATATCGAGTCTCTCTCATTGTAAGTTGTTTTGGCTTGAAATCTATAAACTTCAACCCACAGTTTCTCTTTGCTTGTATCTCCATCATTGTTTGTAGTGATTTTTAATTCGATAAAGTCAACAACTTTAGCTTGGTTCTTTAGCTTCCTTTTTTTGCAACAATAACTCCTTTTATTTTTTTTTTATGGTAATAGCCCAAAACAACTCTAAATGGTCTCGAGTAGCAGTACCATCTCATTGTCCTTTAATTTTATCAATATCAACAAGTAAATTTACATGGTCCTCGAAGACAACAACCTCTTCGTTCATTCCTCCATCTCGAACGACCTTTAAGTAACTCTTGTTACCTTTAATAACATTCATGCTAATCTTATGAATCACGAGAACATCATCAACACTACCATTGGTAGCAAATTGGTCAACACAATCGATAATAACTCTAACAACACTAATTGCATAATCCACGATATTCACATCAACATCCTTAAGCATGTCACCATGCTTACCCTTAAGCATACTCAACTCGAAGCACCTCTCTATGCTTTCCCATATCATGATGCATGATAGATATTTTCTCATTCAATCTAATATCAATAACATAAAAAACATCCGAATCATCATCATCATACATATGATATCTAAGATTAGTATTCAAATCAACATAATTCTCTAGCCTACTAGTCTTAGCATACTTAAAAACATTGTCATGATCAATCCTATGTAATTTTTTTGCATGATAATCATGATTAGTTGGATGTGACTCACCAAGATAGAAATTCCGTGAACTTGCTACTCTTTTTTTCTTATTCTCAACCTCTATTCCCGCTATAGATTCTTGTCTACTTAGATACAAAGTGATCAAATATTCCCTTATGAAAAACTTGTGAGTCGCCGAGATAGCCATCATGAGTAACATTTTGATCGAATTGTCATAGCCTCCCTAATATCATATGACATACATCCATAGACATCTCATCAAACTTTTGAATTTGAGATAGCCATCATGAGTAACTTTTTGATCAAATTGCCATGGCCTCCCAAATATCACATGACATG